TTTAGCTCACATGGGGGAGCCATTGTAATTGCCTACTTGTTTTGCTGTCTGTCTGTCCATGGGCTATCTATCTGTGTCTGTCTGCCTAGGCTTATTGAAACTAGGTTTAGGGTTTGGATTAAAAAAGTATGGGTTGTGTTAAAGCTAGGGTCAGGGTTAGAGCTGAGATTAGGGTTAGAGCTAGGGTTAGAGCTGAGATTAGGATTAAAGCTAGGGTTAGAGCTGAGATTAGGGTTAGAGCTAGGGTTTGGATTAAAGCTATAGTGAGGAGCAAAGCTAGAGTTAAGGTTAGAGCTAGTGTTAGGGCTTAAGCAAGGGATTGGGGTTAGAGTTAAGATTAGGGTAAAGCTTGGGTAAATGTAAAGCTTAGGTTCGGGTTATAGCTAAGGTAAGATTAGGTTTAGAGCTGGGGTAAGGTTTAGAGCTGGGATTAGGTTTAGAGCTATGGTTAGGTTTAGAGCTATGGTTAGGTTTAGAGCTGAGGCTAGGTTTAGAGCTGGGGTTAGGTCTAGAACAAGGGGTTAGGTTTAAAGCTGGGGTTAAGTTTAAAACTGGGGTTAGGTTTAGAGCTGGGGTTAGGTTTAGAGCTGGGGTTAGGTTTAAAACTGGGGGTTAGGTTTAGAGCTGGGGTTAGGTTTAGAGCTGGGGTTAGGTTTAAAACTGGGGTTAGGTTTGGAGCTGGGATTAGGTTTAAAACTGGGGGTTAGGTTTAGAGCTGAGGTTAGGTTTAGAGCTGGGGTTAGGTTTAAAACTGGGGTTAGGTTTAGAGCTGGGGTTAGGTTTAGAACTGGGGTTAGGTTTAAAACTGGGGTTAGGTTTGGAGCTGGGGTTAGGTTTAAAACTGGGGGTTAGGTTTAAAGCTGGGGTTGGGTTTAAAGCTGGGGTTAGGTTTAGAGCAAGGGGTTAGGTTTAAAGCTTTGGTTAGGTTTAGATCAAGGGGTAGGATTAAATGTATGGGATTATCTTTGTACATACATGATCTACATGTATATCTACATATATAGCATTATCTATATACATAATATATATATAAATCCTATTCTCTAAATACATATATGCCATTATCTGTATTAATGTATGATATTATTCTTTTGTACATGTTATTTCCAAGGTTGATAAAACAATTGACGTCTCTAATTTCATAAGCATTTTCAAAGTCAATAACAGTACATTTATATCATCTGTTTATACTTTATCCCTTTAAATCCCTTTAAACATATTGTTGACATACATCTCTGTAGTACTTAAAATTGAATTGAAACGTTATTTGAATTATTCTACTCAAAAGATTTATTATCTCTCCCAAGACACAATCGATATGGCTTTGTATTAAATTTAGTTGAATGCTAAAAGTATGATTGTCTAGATAATACATACTTATACATCTCTGCTGAATGCATAAAAATTCATAGACTCATCAAATCCATAAATTTCACTTTAGTACATAAGTTTTTTATGGCAAGAATGCATTAATAAACTGTAATAAGCTATAACAAGTTATTACAGAAGGATGAGTATTGAAATGCAAATGTAATGTGAGCACTTGTCTTATGTTTATTGAATTTCAATAAAATGGACTGAATGTTTGACAATATACCAACATACATGTAGAAAAAGATAAAAGTTTGCATGTCTGTGTTAAAGTCTGCATGCTCTATTTGTGGACATTATTCTATTGTTTTGTTAAGTGGTATTCATGAATCTGAGTTTATCCATATTTGGCAATATCTACATGATTGTATTGATTGTAGAATATGAATTTGAATATCTAACGAAGACTACGTGCATGACCATGTTCTTAATGCTCGAACCACTCTTCCACTCAAGTTATTTCACCAAAATTTTTCAGCAAAGTTTCAGTCATTAACCCTTAACTCACCAAGCAACCTTTTAGTCCAAATATATTAACCCAAACCAATCTGTGTAATTTACATTCATTTGTACCACATGAAAAAGTGAAGAACGCATTTTAGAAAATGCAAACATTATTTATATTTGTATATGATATAAATTGTTACTGGAGGTGACCAGTTTTTGTACTGATAGAGTTACTCATAAAAAATACAGTTTACCAAATCAAGCCTTTAATTCATATTCCTCAATTTAAATGTTTCAATTAGTCTCTCTGATCTAATATTACTCTGACATAAAATACTATTATCCTAAATGTTTTAACCAAAATCTCAAATTCATGTGACCTTGGACTTGGATTGAGAACCTTGATAAGTTGTTATGGTCACTAATGTTCACTAGCATGTTCAATATGTTGACTAGCATGTTCACTATTGTTCACTAGCATGTTCACTATTGTTCACTAACATGTTCACTATTGTTCACTAGCATGTGCACTATTGTTCACTATGTTCATATCACTAGCATGTTCACTATTGTTCACTAGCATGTTCACTATGTTCATATCACTAGCATATTAGTCATCTAAAGGAGGACAACGTCATATCCTTTGAAATCTAAGTCAGTTAGTCATCATAATTGTGGAATATACTTTACATGTTTTGTGAACAATGTTTGATTTTAATAATTATGTGCTAATTTTCAAATCATATTTTATATTGTAAAATTGTTTACTCATAGCAATTCTTCATTTTGGTGATTTTATTTGAGGTTAGGGAACAATCTTGTTAATGACTCATATCATTCAAATTTCTACAATATTTTATTTGTATTGAATTTTGAAACTTTTTTTTAATGAAAAGTATGAATTCAACTGTTTCTGTACATTTCCACCAAAGTATGCTAATTTGATGGCATATGGTGATACTTGCTGAATGCTGCTGTTCTTTTTTAATTCCCATCCAACTTCAAAATCTTAGCAAGATGAATAATGTAAAGATATTTTTCATTATTCCGCAAAGCACTCTCTATAACTCTAAAGAATTGAATCTAAATTATAATTGAAGATTGTTTCATTGGAGAATTGACCTTTAAGGCAGTAAAGCTGACATAAATTCAAAGTCTGGTAATCAAATCCAATCTCCAATTTAGCAGGTAAAAGCAAACACTTCCTGACTCCCACAAAACCTTCATAGTGTGGTCAGATATGTCCGTTAAAAACTTGACAATTGATAGGAGAAACGCGGGAAATTAAATAAAGCACAACAAGGATAAAACTGTTTTCTGAATAGAAATTTGCGAACATTATATATATTGAGGTTCTGGGAGAATATTTGAGTTTATATGAACAAAAATGAAATGTTATTGACGAGTAAGACATAAATTTTGAATTTCATTCATTATAGCTTGTTTTCTGCAATAATTTCCAGTTCTTGTACAGTAAAAGTAGAACTAAGTTGAAAAATCAATAGGAACATAAAATTCATCATTTCCTTTCATTTTACACGACAATCCCCTCGGCTATTAAAACACTAATGGCAGATGAAATAATTCTCGAAATTGAAATTACAGAGCTTTCAAACTGCAAAGAATAATCAATAATTTTAATGATAATATGTGTTTTAATCTGACTAGTAATGGGTTGCTAGTAGATTATACTAATAGCATGTTCGTTGAGATAACTATGAAAAAATAGCTAATAAATTACAAAACTTGGTGCCATGGTAGTATATTAATAATACTTTTATGTATACATATATGTAATGAAACCTTTTAGCTATGAATATTATTCTTGTTTAATAGAAACAGAAAAACTGAATACATCTGAGGATTAATTTCTGTGAATTATAAATGAGATTCAATAGCTCATATCTTTGAATGCAGAAAAACAATGTTTTAATAACTTCATTGTTATAGCTATCATTTTTTGTTGTTACTTGTGGTTGGTGTTTGGTGGTCATCATTTTGGATCTGTAACAAATTGTCACACTTTTATAAACATTTTATAAATAAGTTGTGACATTTTGTTATGTTAAATATTTTGATTGCTCTGTAAATATCTCAGTTGTTCTTTATCAAATATGAATAATATCCATTTGGATCAAGTGAAATAGAGTGAATTATTCAAATTATTCAAAATGCACAAAGGGCAAAACACAGACAAAACTCAATAAACAATATGATTATCAACAAATAAAACTAAACAATCAAAATTAGCTGATCCATCATGACTAGGTTTTCACAGGTGCATATTATAATAACCTATGGCTCTGAATGCGTGAAATCTGTGCTGGGATACCCAAGGGGAAAAATACATTGTTTAGAAAACAAAACAAGATAATGGCGGTGATGTGAGATTTTTTGCATTCTTGATCTTTATTGAAATAAAGGTGTACAGTTACTCCTTGGAGAAGTGCTTTAGGAGATAAAAAAAGAGTAGGGAGGGAGGAGCTCATTTATTCAGAAAGATCTGTCACCAGCATGATCATGAATCCTTCATTCGAAACAGTTTAGAAGTGTAAAGGTTTAAAGATGCCATCTTTCTTTAACAATAGAAGTGAACTGAATTGAATGGAGTAACTGTTTATAATAAAAGATGGCAACCTAATCTGGTTAGAATCAATCCTTTTTGTGAGTACTAAATATAGTAGGGTAAACTTGAGTGTCAGAGTTGAGTGCACTTAGCAGCCGAAGCTCTCTTTTAAAAAGCAAAGTCCAACTATTTGAAAGTGTAGGTACAATAATGAACATAAGATATGTGTCTCTGGAATACCCTTCGCGACATAATTATCATCAAGCAATATTTGGAATATTCTGCTTCTGGGTGGGAAGTAGTGGGTTGACCTAATAATAGTCATCAAATAATGCTTGTGTCATAGTGACATCAAAGTAACATAACTGTTTATCAAGTAATAATATAAAGGTTCCAAGTAACTGATTAATCCAATCCATTTTGTCAGATGTCAAAATCTCTTTTTATTAAGTGAATTCTGTACGAACATATTTGTGAAGAATTGTACGTATGTAATTTACATTGCATTTTTTTCTTGTAATAAATGTGTACAATTTGGTAATAAGTGTTGGTTGAAATTAGGAATAAATTGAAAACATTGAATTGCTTGACATGTTGTTGTTATTGTGTGTTTCAGGTGATGACCCAGACTTTATATCATCATCAGGAACAGAGGATGAGTCTTCAGATGAAGAGGCTGTTCTGGAAGAAGGTCAGTTTTTATATAACCACCAAAAGTGGTGACATATTGTTATAGTTTGCTACTTTTTGGATGGTGTTCAGCGGTTGGTGTAAAAGCTTATTTCCTACTTTTTGGATGGTGTTCATTAAAGTGTCAAATCGTCTTGAATTGTCAGAGGGTGGTGTAGCTTTTTGGTGTTAAAACAGGATTGAATAGTCAGAGGGTGGTGTAGCTTGCTGTTGTTAATACAGGGTTGAATTGTCAGAGGGTGGTGTAGCTCGCTGTTGTTAATACAGGGTTGAATAGTCAGAGGTTGGTGTAACTTACTGGTGTTAATACAGGGTTGAATAGTCAGAGGGTGGTGTAGCTTACTGGTGTTAAAACAGGGTTGAATAGTCAGAGGGTGGTGTAGCTTACTGGTGTTAATACAGGGTTGAATAGTTAGATGGTTGTATAGCTTACTGGTATTAATACAGGGTTGAATAGTCAGAGGGTGGTGTAGCTTACTGGTGTTAAAACAGGGTTGAATAGTCAGAGGGTGGTGTAGCTTACTGGTGTTAATACAGGGTTGAATAGTAAGATGGTTGTATAGCTTACTGGTATTAATACAGGGTTGAATAGTCAGAGGGTGGTGTAGCGTACTGGTATTAATACAGGGTTGAATAGTCAGAGGGTGGTGTAGCTTACTGGTGTTAAAACAGGGTTGAATAGTCAGAGGGTGGTGTAGCTCGCTGTTGTTAATACAGGGTTGAATAGTCAGAGGGTGGTGTAGCTTACTGGTGTTAATACAGGGTTGAATAGTCAGAGGGTGGTGTAGCCCACTGTTGTTAATACAGGGTAATTCATGTTATTACAGAAGCTGTTGTGGATGAAGAGCTGGATGGTTGGGAATACAACCCTGAAGGTGAAGATGCTGTTGCTAATGGAGATGACGAGGATTCTGAAATGGTTGACTCCACTAACATAGAGGTAGCAGACAATGATGCTGAACAGTAAGTAACTGTTAACAGAAATGCTCCACCTTATCCATATTTTTGATTCGTGTATCTCAATAAGCAATGCCATACCTTCAGGATATCACTATATTGTATAAAAAGAGGGTGATCAATTTGCAAGAAACGTTTAAAATTATCCAGTCAATGTGTCCTTTATTGTTCAAAATGCTGTATTATAAGAAAAATGGGCACATTATGATTTTCTAGTCAGTTCCTCACTAGGTCTGATTCTAACTTAAATAAGCATGCATTTTACCTTGAATATAACATCTCAGATTGTACAGAAATACATTTGATCGTTTGTACATTAACAGGGCAGAGTATGCGGAAGAGGCTGAAGATGAAGACCACACTGAACACATTCAGGTAAATGAGGAAAACTTTGCAATTTCAATCTACATCATACTGCAGACAAATATTTTCGCTGACTAAAATGTTCACTGTTTTGGACTTGGAGAATAACAAACCATCGCAACAAATGTTATCACTTTCAATTAAGCTTAGAGAATGTCTCATAAATACTTTTTGGCAGGTCACCTTAGCTCACTTCATTTTGCATTACATATACCAGGTCGTTCAATAAGTTCACGGAAAAATGCTCTCATTTCAAAAAATTTTGATATTTGCTCATGAAATGTTCACACAATGTATAGAAAATACTTTCTGATTGATTCTTAAAATATCAGCATCTCTTATTTGATTGGTTAGATTGGTCAAAAATTAGAGCATTTTTCCGTGAACTTATTGAACGACCTGGTAGTATATTCAGTACATTTGATATATTGAAAAAGGTGCCTGTACATGTTTTTATGTTTCTGTGAACCCATTGATGTACCAAGTCTTTTTTGTCCTTTATATATTTTGGAAATATATTCTGTTTAAGGAGGAAGAACCACAGGAAACATCAATAGACCATGAAGATAACGCTAGTAACCATAGTAACAGTCACTCTAGCAGCAGTAGTCATAGTGACTCTGATAGTAGTCATAGCGACAGTGAATCATATGGTAAATAAAAAGATTATTGTTATTTAACATTCAACAAGTTTTTTAAATTATATGTTGAATATTGAAATTATAATGCTTCAAGATGTAACTATTGTGAATAAAGCAACATTTTTGTAATTATCTACATTATCTAGCTGTGGGTTTTAACATTTTTCTCTACTCCAGATGATGAATATGAATCCAGTCACCATAGCGATGAGAGTGAGCCAGAGGAAGGAGAAATAAAAGAAGAAAATCCAAAGAGGAAGAAAAGAAGGCGGAAAATTCCAGATGTGAAAAGTGATGAAAAGTGCTCTGAACCAAAAGAAGATGATACTAAAACTGACAGTGTTGTTGGTGATAAACAAGTGTCTGATGATGTGGATGAAAAATCAAATGAAACTGGACAGAAAGGAACTGAAAGTGCTGAGAAGAGTACTGAAGATGAAAATGAGAAAGAAAAGGAGGGCCAAAGTGATATTGACAAGGAAAAGGTTGATAATAAAGCAAATGAGGAAACACATGACACTAGTCCTGATAATATACAAAAGACTGATGACACTGCTATTGATAACAGAAAGGTTGAGGATAATGATGAATGTTCTGATGTTAAAGTGAAAACAAGTGAAAACAATACAGTTGATACAGAAACACAGCAGAATGACAAAGACGGTTATAACAAAGAAGGAGACATTTCAGAAGATGTGTCAAATGATATAAACCCCAATCCAACAAAGAGTTCTGATAAAGGAATAAGTAAAGTAGTAGACACCAAAGATGAAGCAAATGATGCATTAACCACAAGTGCTCATAATGACACAACTGCAAAGGCTGACGACAAAGATGAAGCAAATGATGCTTTAACTTCAAGTGCTCATGAAGAAACTACTGCTAAGGCTGACAACAAAGACAGAGGAAATGAGGCATTAACTACAAGTGTTCAAAAAGACACAACAGCAAAGACTGACAATAGTACCCCAGGTACAAACTCATCGACAAAAGCTCAAAATGATGCTACTGTTGATGATACAGATAAGACAAAATCTGCCCCTAGTGAAAATAAACCTACAGACAACCAAGACGATCCTAAAGCTTCCAAAGCTGGTGGGAAAAAATTGTCCAAAAACCAGATGGAAATTCTGGAGTTGGAAATGCGAGCTAGGGCAATAAAAGCAATGTTAAATGCTGCTCCTAAATGATCCTTATAATTCAGGTTGGTGACTAGTATAAGGTTGTATTTTGTAATTCACAATGTTAATCTGTTAATTAATTAGTTAATTCGTTAACTAGTAATTTGTTTTATTTAGTTTTGAAATATGATAGGGTCTCATCCCTGATTGAACCATACTAATGATCATATACAGGGTGTGCTATAAGCTTATTCATTATTATATATACACTGTCTGTGCTCGTTATTGTGAACACAAAATTTCTGTATTTAAAAGGGAAAACATTTGTAAGGTTCTTATCACAAAATGTGAATTTTGCAAAGATTGAAATGTCACATGATCTTTCCCATATACAGAACTCAATTTAGCATTTAATTTGTAGAAAATGGATGGGTCATTGTATGACGTCACACAGTAATGATGCGATGACATCTATCATATTGTGACTTAAATTTTTGTTTTTGTGGGTTTATTGGAAATATATAGCATAATACTACAAGAGCTTTTGAATTTTGACTTTTATGTTCCTTTTGGCAGCTATGGAATACATGTACGTATATGTCCATGTATAAACAATACATTAGTAATACATGCATTTGTTTTATAAAAACATGTTTGCCTTGGAAATAAACAGGAAATCCCATATCAGTAAAATTCCAGTATAAGAAACCATATTGGATCCCATATCAGCCAAAATCATGTGTCAGATCCGGTATCAGAAATATTATGGAATAAGTAGGTTATGATGGGATATGATTTCTTTCCTTGAGAAAATATGATACCAAGTAGATTGAAACAAGGTTTCAAGGGTAGCCTTGTTTTATTTCCATTGTCCCAGTATGTATGATACAAGGTAACCTGAAAATCTGTTGTGAATATAGGGTTGTCACAGTCTGGGAACAATCAGGGAAACCCAAAATTTATTTTCCCTGACCAAGATGAGTCGAAAAGTGTCGGGGAATTTTAAAATTCCAGAAAAGATCAGCAATTTGTCAGGGAATTTAAGTGGTGGACATTTTGAAAAGATGAATGAAGTTGAAAAAGTTGAATGTTACGAACTTAAAATTCATGAAAAGAGAAAATTTGGATTTAAAAATGGTGTGAAAACACCGGAATACATTCTCAGTATGTAAGCTAATATACAAATCTAAAAAAGAGGAAAAACCTAATTCTATTGTTGAAAGGAATGGATTCCAAGAGCAAGGATTCATCCTTTGGTGACTCACCACAGTGTAATCACCTCCAGCCACAACCTATTAACTATTGCCTCACAAATATATTATGTATCTATAAAGGATATGATGTTTAAATATGATTTACCACAACTGAACCATAACACTGATAATGTTCCAACCACAACCTTTGTATATCCTCATGAGACTTGGAGAGGAATTTTAAAGTGGCACTAAAGAACAGAGAAAATTGGAAGAAGCATTCTTCAAAATCCTAATTTTATTCTCTGAAAAGTAATATGAGACAATTCTGATCAAATATGGAAGGTATTAAAGAATTAAGATCCATTAATGTCCAATTTCATTAGAATTAGTTATTAATGCAGTAATTCTGAGACAGTGGGACACTTTTTTTTCAAAAATACTCCTAAAAGAGGGAATAGCCATAAAACTTGGATAATTCCTTTAAACTCTCCAAAACAAATTGTTGGTGCCTCAAACCTGCCTTGAAGAATGACTATGACCCCTACTTACTTTTGTCAAAATACCAGAGCCTTAGAAAATCACTCACCTCGATATCGACGAAAGACGTTTCAATTTTGGTTAACTGCGAGAGCAAAATTCAAATCTCAGTTAAAAGTTTTAGTTCAGTGTAAAATGGACATGATTTTAACTAATTTTGTACTTGATAGAGGGTTTTTGACACCTTTTAAAATTTGGTACCTGGTGACAGTCAGTTATTCCGCGAAAATGCCAAAACTAAAACTAACTTCAAGAAACATTGCCATCTATAGCAAGTTAATGGAGTTAAAATGATATTTTTCGATCGAAAGAGGAAAAGCACCAAAATTATGAACTCGGCTTGATGTGTTCTTCATCACTATACTTTGGTGAGACATATTGGAACTTATCATAGCCATTCAACCAAGCCACAAAAATTGTGTATAACAGTAGTTAAAATTATTCTTCCTTAAATAACAAAAGCTAAGGGATTATCATAAAATTAATTTGATCTGTCTGATATTTTTAATAAAATAGACAAAACATGGAATGTAGCTAGAAAAAATATTGTAAAAGTGTAACAATATTTTAGAAAGTTACTCTCAACTAGACTCAGGTTTTTCATTTCACCTTTTTTATCCTCAGAATGATGTCTTAGGTGAGCTACTTCCATCTTTCAGTTTACCTTCCAAATTATATTAGTAGAAATCATACAGATCTGGATTGAGAGGTGCTGCCATCTTTCTGACCAATAATAGTTTTTTAGTGCTTTGTTTTACTATACTGGTTTCATTCATCTTTATTTCCAAGGTGTAAAATGCATTTTGCTGGAAAAACCCTAGAAAACAAGTATGGTTTCCCTGGAGCTATCAAAAATTAGCTTTATTGTGTGATATCATATACTGTTTGTTCATTCTTCATAGAGATGGTTCGCCTATGAATTGTGGGGTATTCCCTCCTCGTTTACAGATTTATTACAGTAACAACTAAAGTAAGTCAGGTAATTCCAAGTAGTGTTCAAAAATGCCATTCAGACTCACCATATTTACTTGTTTAGCAACCATTGTTCTTCTCATCTTGTACTTCTTGTTTTGATTGTTTGATAGAACATTCGCTGAAGAAAAAGTAACTAAATTAAATTTCAAGGATACGTGTAGTTTAGAAATAACAGATGTTGAAAGTGTATACAGTATTTTCAAGAATGCTACAAGGTTATTATGAATTCAGCTTCAATGTATTCAGCACAATTACCACACCGCGGTATCCAAACTGCGTGCATACTATGCAACATTGCATCATACAAGTCTTCAAGCGATTATATGATTCTACCATGTGATAGCAAAAGTTATGTCTAGATGAATGTAGGTTTTAAAATATAAGCCGTCGTGTCCTCCCCGTCAGCCATTTTTAAATATAATGTCATATAAAATATAATTGAAAGTAAAAGAAAATGCACTATCTGACTGATCATTTTGTTATAGTCTTCAACCTTTTTTGTGACATTATCCGTCAGTCAGCATCTATAACAAATGGCAGGTGGTGATATTTTGGATTGTAATGCATCCCTAAGTTAAATTATTCTTCCACTTTTTCCCAAATGAATCCAATAAAAAATGGTAACCACAATAGTGTAGAAAAGAAGCTTTTTGTTAAGATTTCTTTCAAGAGTGCATCTTTAATTGCTTAACCAAAAAAAGAGATTCCAAGATAACCTTAGATTTTCGTCAAGAGGTTCATTCAAGATTTAGATGAAATACTTCAAGGTTTTTTCACCTACTTATGATAGGATCTTCATGAGATGGTGTGGAAAATCCTTTCATTCGCTGTCTTTAAAAATAGCACTCCCAGATGTTGGTTGCTTAATCAGCTTAAAAGCTTTAATTCTTTAAGTTAGTTATTTTAGAATTTCCTTGGCCTTTTAAAAGCTGATCTTACTCATGAGATGCTTAATGTCTTCTTTGATTTGCATTCCACATTCCAAATAAAACCCTTTACTGATGGGGGATTCCACAATCTAGTTCAAATTGACTTACTTACTAATTCGAGTGCAATTTGCCTTTTGGTTTGGTTGTACACGTGCAGATCAGAATACTAGTATACCAATATGTTTCTGTAGATTGTGAATAGATAAACTCATTTTTTGAAAGAACTAATTCAGTTCACGGAATGCTGCATCAATGAAATATATCAAATTCTGATATTTGTTCGTTAATTCTATGAAGTCTCAGTGCACCATATATTTGATACGAGCATGGCATGGGAATACTTCATCTAATTACATTAGTTGCATCTAGGTTCAATTGATTGATCAAAAATTTCTAAGCTCTTCCTAAGCAAAATATTTTTGAAAATTTTGGGCAATGGTATATTATGAATTTTCTAACATTGCTTTTTTCTGATTATTTTCACAGTGGCATTTTGCTACGAATATCTCTCATATATTGCTTTTGTTTTTTGTAAATTTTTGGCGACTATTGCTTCTATCGGAATATCTCTCATATATTATTTTTATTTTTTTGTAGATTTTTTTCTATTTGATGTTTGATGTGGTTGCACATCTGTTTTCAGTATATCTGAATCCCACAAGTAATTATCATAGTACTTGATGAAGAATTGTATTTTCAAATACCATTCTAATCAAAATTAGTTTTGATTGGATAAAGGCAGGGATGATTTAAGACCAACC